CCTTACTTCCTCCCTTACTTCCTCCCTTACTTCCTCCCTTACTTCCTTCCTCACTTCCTCACTTCCTCCCTCCCTGCCTCCCTTCCTTTCCCTTCCTTTCCCTTCCTTTCCCTTCCTTTCCCTTCCTTTCCATTCCTTTCCCTTCCTTTCCCTTCCTTTCCCTTCCTTTCCCTTCCTTTCCCTTCCTTTTCCATTCCTTTTCCCTTTCTTTCCCTTCCTTTCCCTTCCTTTCCCTTCCTTTCCCTTCCTTTCCCTTCCTTTCCCTTCCTTTCCCCTTCCTTCCCTTCCTTCCCTTCCTTGCCTTCCTCCCTGCCTGCCTTCCTCCTTCGAACACCAGAAAACGGATAAACATTTCCAAACAAAACGGAAAAACACAAAAGAAATTAGCCTTCCAACATCCAAGATGTAATCTTGCTAGCGATAGGGGATAGGTCAGCTAAACTATATTGGGAACGCTGTTCCAAGCAAAACATTGCATTCAGGTCAATCACGACGCGTTTGCTCGACACGTTTGCTTTTGAAAAGACGTATGGGCCATGAGCCAAAACATGGATGCGTTAAATTTGGTATACATTGATTTGGAAAGACCTGCAAGGCATGCGCGGTAAAATAGTGCAACATGTCCTGACATTGATAGGTTTAGTTTTGGAATATTTGTGCCAGCAAGGCTGATCTTGTTTTATGTATGATTCTGCAAGGCCATTGCGGCATTCCATCACTCCAGTCTGGCACGGTTTGGTCATGTGTACGTGCTCGCAATTTGCAACTGCCCGCTGGAAGTTTGGCACATGGTTGCAACGGATTGGTACAAACATACAAACAATTCCGTTTTTTCCCTTTGCAAGAGTTCAAATAGACATGAATTACCGCAAATCCATGGAAACCAACTTGCACATTCCGTATCCAGTAACATTGGTACTTCCCGTCCAAACATTCCTCCAATGCGGGAATTCCATTAAACACGTGCTGCACCAATTTTCTTAGCCGTGCTGGCCGCCGGGGCGGATGCCGCAGATGCGCAGCAGGATTGCCAAACGTATGATTCGTTTTCACCATGGAATAACATCGCGGGCTGATCTGGATTATGAGAAGACGATTGACACGATCACATGTTCTTTCCTGCGCCATGGTGAGGTTCTGCACCTGGATGTTTGAATGCCAGACCCTTGAGGATTCCTCGTTTGGCAGCTTTCTGGCTAATGCTTGCGGCCTTGCTTCACTGCAGGCCGCTCTTTTGTTGAATTACCATGTCTCCGATTTTGAAACTTACATGAAAACATGTGTTGCACAAAAACTTTGGCAGGTTTCCGCTGTTCACTTTTCGCTGGCCGGGGCCAAAGCCACAATGGCGTGTTTCTGCACATCAGAAGTGCGCAGGCGCAATGTGGTACAACTCATGGGAACCAATTTTGCTGACAAAACATGGGACCTCGGGTGGTCCAACTTGACTTGATGGTAGAGGTGGCACGAAGACATTTCGTGCTGGTGCTCATTGCGGCTGATGCAGGCCGAAATGCCCGCAGTGCAGCCCACATTGCCTTGGCCAAAGCAGCCAGACAGACAGAAGAGGCCTCGTCCGTTTTATCCGAACATATTTGCAGGACCAACCCTTGCAGGCTGTGTATGAATGGGGTATTTTTTCCTAGGATATCGGCAACAACAGCTGTTGTCTGTCTTGCAGGAATGGCCCATGCACGCTTTCATTCCAATCATTCTCCAACCAGGTTGCCATAGATCCCACCGCATACCGGGAAAATCGGATCAAACAGTTGAAAGAGGCAGGTGGGTTGGATGGTCCGATCAGGGTATTGCTGTGCAACTTCAGACTTGAGAGAATGAAACTGTTTGACTAGCCTTCCCTTTGTGACGCCGTGGCAGCAACGCGGATGACAGACTGGTGTGGAAGCCTACCCGCACATGTGGGAAGTCAACACCTCGTTGGCAAAATTGATCGCTGACTATTCCGACCTGGAAGATGGTGCTCGGGTGGATGAGGCAAGCCTGCCGCCCAAATTGCGTGAGTATTCATCTGCCGTAGATGACATGCGTTTTTTTTTTAAATAATCTTTATCATTCATGGTTTTATATTCCCATGGTATGCCAGATGATGCACAATGTTAGGAGGTAAGTTTTTCAATCTTTTCATTAGTTGAAGGAATTTGAAGGAGCTAGTACCAAGATGCAGTCGTTTTGGTTTTTCAGGTGGAGGTCAGGATAGCTGGCCGTGTGAAGAGTCTGCGATCCTCCGGGGCAAAATTGAAGTTCTATGACCTTTCCGAAGGTGAAGACCGAATCCAGGTTGGTGCCGATCCCGCCATCCTCGCCATGTCGGTTGATAATGTTGGTTGCCAAAGCGTTCTTGGCAGATGCGTGAGGTGATGTGCAGCCCTCAAATGCATGCGGGAGAAGACTTCAAGGAAGTTCATGCAAACATTCATCGTGGAGTTTCTTGGAAAATTTTGGAATGATTTGGTTCTGTTCAGGGATGGCCGCGTCAAAAAGTCTATGGGGCCAAAGGTTACCTCCTTGCAATTCCCAGCGGCAATCTAAGGACATCATTGGCGTCCGCGGAGTGATTGGGAAATCCAAACGCGGAGAACTTTCAGTTTTTCCTCGAGAAGTGAAACTGCTTTCGCCATGTTTGCACATGTTGCCCAAAGACTATTCAGGCCGAAGGGTACCCGGAAATTGTACCAGTCGTTGGTCCTGGCCTTTCCCCAGTGGTCTTTGCATGTCCCTGGCAGGTTTGAAAGATCAGGAAACAAGATATCGCAAGAGCACCATGGAAAAACATAGTGCCGACGCATTCTTTAACCTTGTCGGTTTCTTGCGGTTTGCTATTTCAAAGACCTTGAGCAGCTTTTGCTAGTCGGAGGAATGTATTCTGAATTTTGTAATCGTCTCATGACAAATGATTTCTTCCTTGATGGCCCACTCATGACTCAGTGCCAAGATGTGCTAAGGATATTTGGATTTGATGATCAACGAAGACGTGCGCAAAACCTTCCGGCTGAGATCTGCAGTAACGAATTACATCAGGCGTTATCTTCAGGAGAGGGCAACCTTTTTCTTTTTTAAAAACTGTTTCTCTGTCGTTTAAGCCATGATGAAATGCTGCAGGAAAAAGGTTTCCTGGAAGTTGAGACGCCGATGATGTCTCTTGTCAGATGTTGCTTCACAAGTGGCTTGCAGTAGGGGTATCATGTTTCCTGGCTGCTAGTGAGCCTGCACCCAAGGAATGCAATCGCAGGGGGTGCCTCTGCCAAGCCCTTCATTACCAGACACAATGAGCTAGACATGGATTTGCAACTCGGCACACAAAGTTTTCAACAGTCTCAAACGAATGCAGTTCATTCCATCTCCAACCAGCTTTTGAAACATGTTCCCTGAACCTCAGCCTGAGGTACATGCGAATTGCTCCGGAGCTTTACCTGAAACAGCCACTGGGCTCCCAGATCCAGAAAACCAAGTGACACACTATTCAATTCTGCCATCCAACCTTAGCGAACTTGTGTTGGGGAACTGTTCAGTGTTTGAAGTGAAGATGCAGCAATCATATTCTAGGCTGAAAACATGGATTGGCTCTCTGCCTGCTACTGGTACTACTAGTCCCAGCCATCGAAACTCAGGCTTGTTATTGGTGGCCTGGACCGTGTTTTCGAGATAGGCCGCAATTTTCGCAACGAGGGAATCGACCTCACACACAACCCAGAGCAGCTCGTCCTACTGGATGTACTGCTTTCCTTCTGAACTCGCACTGCATGATGCTGTCTTTGTTTTGTTTGTCACTTGCTGCAAATGTATGCAACCGTTTTTCCCCAATGCATGGCGAAGGGTTCTTGTTTTACATTGGGGGTCTGGGGGTGGAGACGTGTTCGCTCGACGCCGCTTCTGCGACCGCAACCGTTTGCAACTGTCGGCAACCGTTTGCAACCGTTGGCGACCATTCGCAACCGTCTGCTAGGCCGCTATGGCCGTGCCTTTGGCGAGTTCTGCAAAAGTGGTCATTTCCGGAGATTTCAATCGTCGCGCAGCTTCGTTTCGCCTGACAGGCGCACCATTTTGTGACATTCCAACATGTTTCATCACAGGTCGAAAATCGTAAAACAATCTTGTGTGGCAAGCGAAATATTTTGGCGTTGTTTTCAGAAGATGCGGGCAGGCGCGACGCTTTGGAGACTTCCATCGTTATTTAGGGTGGCAGGCGCAGCACTTCAAACGTGGCTAATCCCATCCCATTGACAGGGCTGTGCGAAGTGGTAACAAGATGTAACAAGGTGCAAATTCTATGGCAGGCCTTGCATTTTGTGAGATGTGATGAAAATTGCCGGAAGCCTCCCACAAGACTTCGATTTTGAGGTAGCCAATTTTAAACATGTAGGAAAACGCTGATTTTGACGCTACGAAATGTGAAAAATTGAGGACGTCTCGCACGAAATGCTCGTTTTGAGGCTCCCACATGTCTCGTTTGGAGGCTCTGGTTGGTTTTCTTCTGCCGTCTCTGTGTCTATGGGGGAAGCTGCAATTCCTTCTCGAAAGTTTCAAAACAAGTTGTCATGTCGTTTTGCGTGGCAGGCGTGGCACTTCCTGACATTCTGACGTGTCTGCAAAAGTGTCGAGACTGATTTTGTGCGGCAAGCAGCAGTGCAATACTTTTGCATCGTTTGCAGCAGATGAGTTGCAGCTTTCGTGGCAAGCGCAGCACTTTGGAGACCCCCATCCTCATTTAGCGTGCCAGGCGCAGCACTTCAGAGGTTTCGTGCTGCGTGTTTTTGGCTAATACACTTTCCATTCCACACTTTAAACTCCACAGTTTACACTCCTCCCTCCTCACTCCACACTACACTTCACACCCCCCACTTCACATTCTACACATTTACCCCCCACACCCGCTTTACGCTTTACACTTTACACTCCACACTCTAAACTACACACTCCACACTTCACATTCCCAACTTACAGTTCACACTTCACACTTCACACTTCTCACTTTACACTCCTCACTGCTCACTCCACACTCTACCCTCTTCACTCCCCACTCCGCACTCCACACTATACTATGTGCACTCCACACTTTAAACTCCACACTTCACACTCTGCGCTTTACATTCCTCACTCCTCACTCCGCTCTCTACACTCCTCACTCCACACCCCACACTTTACACTCCATGCTCCACACGTGAAACTTGACACTGTACACTTCACACCCTTCACAGCACACTTTACACTTTACACTCCGCACTTTTCGCTTTCCACTGCTCTTTCCACACCTTACACTTTACAAATTACACTCCGCACTGTAAGTACACTTTAAATTCCAGACTTTACATTCCACACTCCACACTTTACACTTTACAGTCCAAACTTTACACTTTGCACTCTGCACTTTGCATTCCACACTCCTCACTCCTTACTTTACACTCCCCACTCCTCACTTCGCACTTTACACTCCGCACCCTCAACTTTGCACTCAGCGCCACACACTCTCCCCTCCACACTTGACATTTTACACTCCTCACTCCACACTTTCCACTTTACCTTCCACACTTCACATTTCACACTTTACACTTTACACTTTGCACTCCGCACTCCACATATACGATTTATACTCCACACTCCACATTCCACACTTTTCACTTTACCTTCCACACACTCCGCACTCTACCCTCCTCACTCCTCCCTCCTCCCTCCACACTCCACACTCTAGACTCCACACTGAACAAATTCCACTCGACAGTTCTCACTTCACTCTTGACACTTCTCACTTCTCACTTCACTCTTGACACTTCTCATTTCACACTTGGCATTCCACACTATACACTGTACACTGTACACTCCACACTTTACACTTTACACTCCGCATTTTACACTCCACACTTTACACTCCACACTTTGCACTTCACACTTTGCACTTCACACTCCTCCACTTTACGCTTTACACTTTACACTCCACGCTTTACACCCTACACTAAATACATTAAATACCCCGCGCTTGACAATTTACACACTGTACACTCCCCACTGCACACTCTACAGTGTACACTCCACACTCCACACTCCACACGTACACGTTACAAGTTACACTCCACACACAACACTCCACACTCCGCGCTCCACGCTGTACACTCCACACTTTACACTCCACACTTTCCACTTCGCACTCCTCACTTCACATTTCAAATGTCACACTCTGTACTCCACACTAGACACTTTGCACTTCACATTGTATATTTTACATTTTACACTCGCTCCGCACAATACACTTTACACTCCACACTCCGCACCCTACACTTTACAATTTACACTCCACACTATGCACTCCACACCTTATACTCTACACTTTACTCTTGACACGCTACATTCTAAACTCCAGACTTTACGCTCCACACTCCACACTTTACACCTTACGCTCCACACTCTATACTTTACACTCTACACTTTACACTCCGCACTTGACACTTTCTATTCCAGTCTTTGCGCATTTTACTTCACACTTTGCCCCACGCATTCTACACTTCACGCTCCCCACACCCCACACTGTACACTCCACACTCCGCAACTCCCCATTCACACTCTACACGCTACATTCCCTACTCAGCAATCCAATTTCTTCGCGCTCCGCACTTGGCACTCCAACCCATTTCATTTTCCACTGTCTACAGTGCACTGGTAGGGTAACAGGGGAAAATTTGTAACATGCACAAGACTGTTCAAACATTTGTTTCGCAAAAGTGTTTTACGTGACTGCATGCGGGTTCATTGGTCCCTCTTGTTTAGTCTTTAAGCATTCCATCAAGTTTTTGTGACGGTTCCATCAGATTTTCCACGCCTTGGCGCCCAAAGGTTCACAACCTGTGAATTTTACATGGCTTACGCAGACTACGACCAGATGATGAATCTCACCGAGGCTGCTGGACCTTTGTGATCGACTGGAGAGCACATTGCCAACACCATTAGTGCATAGACAATCACACAGACATACACACATATATCATACAATACATTGCAACATATTACTAATGCAATTTAATGTATATATATATATTTAATATATATATATATATATAATGTAATATAACGTAATATTATAATGTAAAATAGTGTAATAGCAATATAATGCAATATAATGTAATATAGTGTAATATAGTGTAATATAGAGCTATACAATGCAATATAATGTAATATAGTGTAATATAATGTAAGATACCGTCAAAATATTTGTAATACTATGTACTGCGATGTAATTTAGTATAATATAACATTATATTATACAATACCATATTTTGAAATACAATGCAATACAACGCAATATAGCATAATATAACTGAACATAATTTAATATAACATATTATAATATAGTATAGCATACTTCGTAATATGATTTTAAACAGGTATTATGTAATACAATATTACACAATATAATGCAATACAGCCTAATATGATAAAGGGTAATACTATAATATGATGATTTAACATAACAGAATACGAGAAGATATAATATAAGATTTATTTTAGTATCATACATAACAATATTCATTATTACAATGCAATATAGCGTTGTAAAGTATGATGTAGTACTTTGCAATATAACATAATATTATATGAGATAAAATTGTATAATATGATTTAATAAAGCAGAAAATAAAAATGATACATAATTTGATTTAATACAAAAATGCACTAACATGTAATATGATAAAATATGATATGAAATGACATGAAATGATATGAAATGAGATGAAATGATATAATATGATCCGATTGAATGCAATACAGCACAATACAAGACATGCACTAGAATATAATATGACTTGATTTGATTTGATCTGACCATATTTGGATATAAGAATACGTAAATGATTTATATATATATATACATATTTAAATATATTTTTTTAAATATGATAGATGCATGATGCAAATAGCATATCCATGTATATATGAGGTTGCATGCCTATGTGCAGATATATTTGGGGGTTTCCATAAATGGGTTATATACCCCTACATGGATGGCTTATCACGGAAAACCCCATGAAACTGGATGATTTGGGGGTACCTCTATTTTAAGAAACCACCATTTGATTGTAAAACAGACCATCTAACCATCTCAATGTTTTATTTTTATACGCAAATGAAAAGAGATTTTTGTGCATAGAATTCTACCGGACCAAGTCGTTGAATCCAAACAAATTCAGCCAACTCTTTGTAGGAACTCATCAGTGGACTGGTCTTAGAACTGACCGGTGGCTATGCGTTCCTTGGCACACTGGTCCTTGATCCCCAAAAGAAGACATGGCTGGTGGTTAAGGATTGAATATCATCCCCATGGACCGGAAAAAGATGCCGTAACTTGGCTGGCTGGGCGAAAATCGGCACCATTACGTATGCTGATCTACGCACAAATTACATAGCAAAAACTTGATCAACATTCAACAATAACAAGATTTCTTTGCACAACGTAAGTGTGTTTGATGTTTAACAGTCTGTGAAACACACGCGTGCCCATTGGTAGCATGTGGGCAAACCAAAACATGCCATGTTGCTGGCCTATTTGAGGTCTTAATCGACTTCACGCCCCCTTGGCCCCGCATCTTAATGGTGGAAGAGATTGAGAAACACATCGGTACAAATTTGCCCCGGAACTTTGAAGATGAAGCTACCCGGGAGGCTCGTGCTGAGGGACTGGAAACACAATTCCTTGAAACGGAAATTCTGAATAGCAGCAGGGACCATCTTTGAAGTGTTTTCCCACAAAATATTTAGTATAAGTTGCATTGATTTTCTTAGATTGCGTTTGGTTTGTGCATGTTTTCTATCCCCACTTACTCTGCACATCTCCAAACTTCGAAACCCAGGATTTTTTCTCCCTCCCACATGGAACATTAGTTTGATTTAGTTCCAATTTCCTTGATCGCAGGGTGGGTGCGATATTTTGTACCGTACCCATGTTTATTTTAATGACTGCTTCTGTTCCCACTCTTTAGAGGGTTCAATGCTCTCATTTTCCGCATGTGCGGATCGCGAACCAAGTGTTAGTTAGGTTTGGGTT